CTGCAAATGACTCAGTCAACACTTTAAGGATCTTAGCTGTTTCTAACTTAAGAAACATTTTAGTTTTTGATACATTTTTTGATACATTATAGGAAAGCATGTTTTTTAAAACATTTCAGAAGTATTTTAACAATAATAAATTCCTTCTGGGTGCCATTGGAGAATCGACCATGTTTGTAACAAAAGTTGGCTCCTTGTTGATGAAAAGTATGAATGTAACAGGACTTGTCCACTAATTTATGAATGGACATTTGAGTTGTTTTGATTTGAAGCTGTTACAAATAAAGTAGCTGTGATATCTTTTTTTAAATTATAAGTTATCTGCACAGTGATGTTAAAATTCCCTGCACAGTATGCTGGGAAAACAAGAATGTCAGAAAACACTAGAGGGTCTGCTTGGAAACCTGTAACTCCCCCAGTAGCAGGGATTTGTTTTCTCCTAAAAGATGAGCCAATTTTTTTTTGACCCTGGGGTACCCTTGGATGAGACCTTTAGAAAGTAGGTGCTGATGTGTTCTCTGTATATATTAAAAATACATTTATACTTTTCCACTAAACCAGGTATTTTTATGTTGACATTTTCACAAGGATCTACTTAAGAGACACTACAAATGAGGGCTCAACTTTTCCCTTTAGGAGGTTAAAACAGAGCACGTGTATTGTTTGAGCTCAGATTTTTATTCTTCTATATCCTGAAGGTCAGCAAAGCTTACTTGTAAAGTGTGAATACCAAAACCTCTATCATACAGTTGTGTATCTCACCTCTTCTCCAGCTCCAGGCACATTCTACTGGTTTTGGGATTTTCTTTTGAGGGAGGTACATCTTTAACCCAAAATACCGAAATTTGAGAGGATGTTTCATTTCCAGGCTTTGTGTTTTATTTATTTTAAATCTGTGTAACAAGACATCCACTCATATGTTGGAGTTGATGACATGTTAAGTGCTTAACATGAAAAAAATCATACAGAGCTCCTCCTAGATGGAGATTCACTCCTTGTCATACATAAAGTACTTTAATTCATTGCATGATTGACTTCCTCCCAGTTAGTCTGATATGAGACACTGCAGTGAGTCAGAAGCCTTTTCCTGGGCTTCAGGGATGGTGTAGTGCTTGGTGTTCTTACTGCAGCCAGTGGTCTCTGCTATATTTTAGCCTCATATCAGTTTAGTAGAAAGACGCTGACAGGAAACATATTTTAATTTGCAAGCTGCTTTGCAAACACTGTCACAATTTCCAGTGCTCTTCATCAATTTGCATAGATCTACTTTTCCATCTGGCCTCCTTTCCTTCTGCCTGAAAGATTTCTGTCAATATTTCTGCTAATGCATTTCTTTTGGGGATGAATTCTTTCAGCTTCACATGTTGAAAAGTCCTGATTTTGCCTTCATTTTTGAAAGATACTGTGCCACTGTCTTTCTCATTTTTATCACATTAGATAAATAAATTCATGACCTCCTATCATTGTGTGTGTGTGTGTGTATATATATATATACGGTAGCTCTTTTTTCCATTGGCTGTTAAGATTCTCTCTTTATCGCTGGTGCTGAACAACTTGATCGTAATGTTCATTGCTGTGGCTTTCTCTATGCTTCTTGTGCTTGGGACTCATTGGGATTCTTAAAACTGTGGATTTTTAGTTTCTACCCAATTTGGAAATTTTTCATTTCATGTGTCCTTATTTTTTTTTCTCTTCCCCAATGTCTCCTTCAGTGATTTCAATTACACATGTAAATGGTCACTTAGAAAAATCCTACCACTTATGGATATTATTTCTACTGTTAAAATTCCTTTTTTACTCTTTGTGTTTCATTTTGGATAATTCTATTGGCATCTTCAAATTAACGCATCTTTTCTTCTGCCATGTTTAATCTATCATCATTCTTGCCAGACTCTGATGACTCAACACCTCTTTAAACTTCATTTTTTATAGCTTCCATATTCTCTACATTTTCTAACACAGAGAATGAACATATAAAAACTGTTTTTAATGTCCTGTTCAACCAATTCTAGTACCTGTTCAGTTTCAACTGATTTTTTTTGAATTACACACTTTAATTGAGTAAATTATATTTTAGTAATGCTATTTTTTATATAATAGTTTATTTTTACATCATTTTGTACATTTTTTTTTCATCTCAATTGTAATCCCCATGGGTTTCAACGGGCTGATTTTTAAAATCAGTATGGGTCCAATTCTTTGTGCCTCGCATACTGGTAATCTTTAAATGTAAAACAGTTTGTATTTTACCTTGCTGCATTCTGAGTTTCTTATTTCTATTTTTTTATTGTATCATTTATTCTTCCTGAGAACATTAGTTTACCACCCGGCATGTGACTGCAAGCTATGGGTTCACATCTGTTCAGAGGTTTGTCAAGCCAGCTCCACCGTATCTCTAAAATCCTCCCAGCAGGCCCCCTCTCTCCTCTGCTTTCCAATGCTATCCTTCCCCCGTGGCAGGCTCAACTTTCCAGTCGGATTTTGAAGTTTAATTTAATTTTTTAATATTCCACAAAGCCATCAGGTATTTGTCTCTTCTCTTTTGACTTCACTGAACAAAATCCTCTTCAGTTCTATGCACATTGCTTGAAATGGCAAGAATTCACCATTTTTAGAGCTGAGTAGTATTCCTGTGTGCGTGAGTAGATCTACACAGATATAGATACACATGCACACAGATTAAGCTCTACTCTGGGGCACAGTTAAGTTACTGGAAGCAATTTGATACATATGAGCTATTTTTTTCCCCTACATTTGTTGGGGTAACAAGCAGGAGTCAGTACATAGATAATTACTCTATGCTACCTAGGCAGACCTTTCTGATCACTCGACATCCCTGAATTACGGGGGTTCCCAGTGTGGCTGGTGGGCAAAGACACGAACTCCTGATCTAGGGAAGCACCAGACACAATTTGCCCCCATTCTCTCAGGTGGTTCCCCCCGGTCCTGCTAGTTTCCCCACACATGTGGGCTGCCAGGTTCTCTGTGGAATGGATGGGCCCTCTGCAGATTGCAAGGCTGTCTTTCTGAATCGTCTGTGAATTGCAGCAATGTTTACCTCCCTGAAGTCCAGTGCTGCCTCCATAACTCAGGGAGTCCACAGGTCTTTTTGCGCCCCACTTTCTTTAGTGTAGCCACTCTCCCAGGGCAGTTGCTGGGACATCTGAAGGTTCAGCTCACCTTGACTGCTTTGTGTTGCTTAGCAATCACTTCGGGCTTTGCATCTCCTAAAGTTCAGTGACTTGACAACTGCTATTTCATATCTTTTTGTTTATGTGCATGT